TCAAGTCCCTCGCTGTCATCCGTTGGCCCGTACTGACCTCAGATCACTCCCACACAGTGATGTTGCTGCGTTGTTCAGCTCCCATACACCACTGTATGTTTGTTCACCTCAGTCAGCCAGACGTCCCCCTTGGCACGGGGCAGCTGGTCAATCACTTTACTGATATGTGGCACCCTCTGGTGGCGCTGGAACCTTCCTGCAGTGACTTGCGTGTACCCACGTAGCTCTCACTGCCACTTTTACCGCAGTGTGCTATCAGCAGTACCTGGAACGGGCCGTTCCACCTCTTAGATTTCCAATGCTTCCTCCTCAAATCCTTGATTACCACAAAATCGCCAGGCCTGATATCATGCAAGACTCCTTCAGCTGGCTTCGGCAGAGCGTCCTTGATCTGCTGAGATATCTCAGAGAGAACAAGAGACAAATTTCGACAGTAGTTTAACATGTCATCTTCACACAAAGCTGTAGAGGGCAGTGGTCGTGGTTCTGGTCCTACTCCAATGGAAGTTGGCCTGCCAAACAGAATTTCAAATGGACTCAGGTTAGACTTTGTTCTTTTTCTCATTCTCATGTACATTAACACAATAGGGAGTGCTTTTACCCAAGACAAACCTGTCTGCTCACAACACTTCATTAATTTTTTCTTTAATGTCACACCTGAGTGATGGCTTCATTTGAAAACGGTGTGTTATTGTCACTCGAACATTTTATGATTGAATGGCTGATTTGGAAGTGGGTGTGCCGCTTGAGGCATCATTTGCCCTCTGCCCATATTGCTTGTGGCACAGATCATACATGATTGACAATACTTGTCCGCAAAGGAAGTGAATCCCTTTGTGAACCAATATTGACTCAGCAAATCAAACATTCCCCCTTTACTCATGTGATCTAGAGGTCATGTAAAGCTTTGCATAGTGTGGCAAAAAGTGTTTTGGCAGACATGATTTGTCTTCAGTACTCAGCCGAAGGTTGTTTTTCAGTTTGCACTCGGCCTTCACCCATTGTTTCTTCTCCTCTGCTGTGGCAAAAGCTTGCATGGCTGTAAGAGAATCAGAAGGAAGTGTGAATAAGTAATTGTTAACTGTTACACGTTATCTCTAACTTCTAACTAGGTTCTGTTCTCATAGCTGCGTCCTTCGCCGCAGTATCAGCTTACTTGTTACCTAAAGACACAAAATCATCACTTTTGGAATGTGCGACGCATTTGCAGATAGCGATTGACTTAGGTAGCAAAATTGCTTCTAACAATGCTGCTATTTTATCATGGTTTAGAACAGGCTTACCATCAGACTTTAGAAATTTCCTTTGTTTCCACAATGCCCCAAAATCATGACAAACCCCAAAAGAGTAACGAGAATTTGTGTAAATGGTAACTGTTTGTCCTTTGGCAATTTTGCAAGCCTCCGTCAATGCTACTAATTCAGCCGCTTGCGCAGAGCAATGCGCATGGAGCGCTCCAGATGTTATTGTTGCATATGCAGTGGTTACAGCATAACCTGCTCTGTTTTGGCCAGTTTTTGGGTCTCTAGATGCTGAACCATCAACGAATAGAATTAAGTCAGCATTTTCTAAGGGGGTTTCTTTTAAATCTGGTCTTGGTGTACAGACCTGTTCAAATGTGGCAACACAGTCGTGTTCTTCCCCATCCTGCTTCGTAGGGAGCACTGTAGCAGGATTTAACACTGTGCATCTTTTTATCGTGATGTTTGGCATTTCCAACAAAATTGCATTGTACCTGAACCATCTGGCGGTTGACAAATGGGATGTTTTCTGTTTTAACAGGATCATAGAAACAGTGTGTGGCACGAGTAAAGTCACATCAGAGTACCCCATAATTTCCCTTGAAGCTAAAGTAGCTTTTTCTGCAGATGCAACAGCTCTCAGGAATTTTGGCAAGCCTGCCACTACCGGATCGAGCTTACTCGAAAAAATAGGCCACAGTTCTCCCCCATGATCCTGTAATAGAACAGAAGTCATGAACCCATTTTCTCATCAACAGTTTGTACAAAATTTCTCACTGGGTCTGGAAGTCCCAGGGTTGGTGATGTTTGTAACAGTATTTTTCAAATTCTCAAATGCTTTCTCTGCTTCTGGGGTCCATGTAAGTTTGTCATGTGGTTGCAAGCCCTTCCCGTGAGCCAAAGCGCTCAGGGGCGATTCTTCAATAGCATAATTTGGAATGAACGGTCGACAGTACGAACACATGCCCAAAAATGACATTAGTTGCTTTTTTGTGACAGGCTTTGAAATCTTTTGAATTGCCTCTTTTCGTTTCTCAGATAGAGATTTACCATTTTTAGTGATGACATGACCTAAAAATGTCACCTCCCTTTTTACAAACTGCAGTTTTGACAAACTGGCTTTGTGACCCTGAGTAGCCAAATGTTTGAGAAGTTTTACAGTATCTTGTTTGCATGTTTCTTTATCTTTTTAACAGGGGAAATAGGTGTACGCACTGGAGAATCCTCACAGGGCACAATTACCCCAGCTGCTCTTAATGATTCAAAAACTGGTGCTATACCTTTTTTTTTAGAGGATATTGAGGTTTACAGGGTCAGTAATCAGACTTTGGAATGATTTGAACTGGTTCACAATATTTAATTAGCCCCACGTCAAATTGAGGAGAGGCCCAAAGTGTTTTAGGGACTTCTTTAAGCGCTGGGTGAGTCTCTACTTCCTCTGCTGAGAGAAAGCTCTGATCTGTCATTGCGTCATCAATCACACAGACTGTGCGTATAGCTTTAACAGCAGGCCCGTGCAAACACATTCGGTATGCAGACAGCATTGGATAGTATTCAACATTTTCCTCTGCTGTCTCCATCCAATTCACATGAAAAATACACGTTTTTACAAATAAACCAATATCTTCCCAATGTTCGTTATTCTTTCTGGACAACAAAACATGTGGAAGAGAATCAACAACATCAAAAAACATTTGCTGTTCATTTTTCAAATCAACAGTAACAGCACATCTGTTTTCTGTCCAGATTAACCATTTCAGGTCTATCGTGTCTATACATGAAAACTATTTCTGTTCAAACATTTAATCTCTTCCAAATTATACATGTGCTGAGCAATGTAAATCAGAGAATGGCATAATTTCAGAACTAGCTGAAACTCTGTCTTTTGCAGCATTGACAAGCTTTTCACATAATTCATCATCTTTCAGTTTCCACTGGTAAATATACAACTGCGATTGTTGGATTGTGGCTAAAGTTTGAATTTGGCATTGGACCACTTGAATTCAGTCTGGGCTAGATAACAGACAAATACCCAGTTTGCACATTAAATCTCTTCCTAACAAATTTCGAGGGCAGCTTCCTGACAGTAGAAAACAATTCTTAAAGTTCATGCCATTCTCATCCTCACATCTGAATGGTACAGTGAAATTTTCTCTGATAGTATGACCAGATGCAGAAGTAGACCAAACAAAATTTCCACTTAATTTTGGAATTGGATCTATTTCATCCATTCTAATTACTGAGTTGCCAGCCCTTTCAACTCCTTTTACCCATAATCTAATCTGTGGCATTTGTTTATAAGCTAAATCATTTAGATGACTATATGTGCATACATATGTTCTTGTCGAGAAAAGATTTGTCATTTTCTAATCTTGCAATGTGATCATGTATTAAAGCAAGCAGATTTTCTTCTTTGCAGTTAGCATGGTTAGTGTGTGTGTGTGTGTGTGTGTGTGTTTCATTCTTATCTGTTTGTGCTGTGTGGCCTTGGTGGACTTTGCTCCCGACTCCCCCCTCTTCTCCGGCTTCTGCTGTGAAAGTCTCTGTTGTCAGTCCGCTTTAGCTTTCTCTGGTCCAGCCGCCGTTTGATTGTTTAAATGTGGACAGTAAATTTTCCAATGTCCCCTCTCCCCGCAATAAAAGCAAACATCTGGATCGATCTGAGACAGTCTTTGTCCTCTGCCTCTCCCGCGCCCTCGCCCTCTGTAATTCATACCTTGTCTCGGTGGGCCTTTGTACATCGTCAGAGCTGTCAGCTGGAGCTCTTTCTCCTTTTTCTTTCCCCCTCTTTCTTCCAGCAGTATTTCAGCATGGAGGGCATGTTGTCTTATCTTTTCCAGTTTCTCGTCCTCCCATCCGATGCAAGTTTGCCTGATGATTGCAGCTATTTCAGGTTTCAGTCCACTCATGAGGCTGCTTCGCAGATGAGATTTCCACATCTGTGGAACTTCTAATAATTTCTCTGCTGCGTGCAGTAGTTGATTTTGGTGGTGTTCACTCTGACTGGAACGTCAGTCTTGATCCGTTGACACAGTGTTTCCACTGACGATATAGTTCGGCGTCATCGTGGTCCCAGTCTGCATTCTTCCTTTGGGCATTGCCCGTAGGGAAATGTGGTCTTATTTTGTGCCAGTCTGTTGCCCCCAGTTTCAGAAGAAAACCTTCAGGAGCCGTTACAGTGAAAAACGTGTAATTACACCCCTGGAAGAGTAAAAAAACGTGTTCACATATCCCTGGAAGAGTGCAAGAATTCATCATGGAAAAGGAAAGATCGTTGCCAGACCTCGATGTGAAGAGCATCCAGTCGAACTCGGTGGAAAATTGCAGCCATTGGTGAAAGAGAAGACGTCGCTATTCAAGGGAGCAACGCGATTTAGTCCCATTGAAACTCACTATTGCGTTTCGCCTGAGTGCATTCCTTGCAGTGCGGAAGAGCAACACAAGAAGATATTGCTGCAGTGACGACAGATAGTCACAAGGAGGCAACGTTGCAAAGTTTTGGACAATTCAGTTGTCAATAAGAGTTGCTACCTTTGGATTCACAGGTCAGACTGTATCTTTTCAGCTTGAAATCTAATTTCTTGGTTGATGTTGCTTTAACATTTATTCTAGTTGTAATTGTATGCAAATGGTTGAAACAAATATTTGCATTTGATAATTTGAGTTGATAAAAGTGTGCAACTTGTTTAATAATTGACTTTATGCAATTTTCATGTGGTACTACATCTTGCTAACAGTGTTTAAAGCTGAATAATAGTGTGGTTTAAAGTAAGTTACCAACATGGATCAAAATAGATCAGACAGTGTCTTCGATCAAGTGATTCAAGCTCTTGAAGAGGAAAGGGCACAATTAGAGGGGAAATTAGAAACTGAAATTGATGTCTCAGACAGACAAAATTATGAGGAGCGTTTAGCTGAAATTAATGCAGATCTGGAAGTTAATAAAGCAAGATTCCAGGAATCATCCTTACGAGTTGAGCAAGAAGCTAGGCGATCAGAAAGAGAAAGGCGTCCAACAGAAAAAATGCTTGAGTTGAGACGTGACGAGTTAGCAAAAAGAGAACGGAAGTTTATGTTCACATACTTAAACTTTAAAGCTGAAGCTCAGTTTATCAGATCTAAACTGAAAGAAGAGTGCTCTAAATCCGAGCTAGACGATATGATGGTGACTGCAGAAAAACGTGAAGCAGAGTTAAAACAAATATATGAGAGTATTCGTGCGTTGAACGTCCCATCTCAAGATATAAGAAGGAGAATGGATAGCTGCACTTCAGTTTCTAGTGAAATAACTGCGTTAATGAAGAGACGTTGCGCAGAAGTTGGCACTAAGGAGTTTGATGTGGAAGCTGTAAAAGAATCGCTCCTGCAGTTATTGCAAAGAGATGACGCTAGGTCAATTTATGGATCAACTGTGTCAAGAGCAGAAAGAGATAGTCAACAGGGAAGTCATATGTCAACAAAATCAACAAAAACAGCAGCACGCCTAGCTGCCAAACGTGCTGAACTAAAGAGAGAAAGGGACATTTTAGCACTTTTAGCACAGGTGCTAGCTCAACAAGAGAAGTTAAAGATGCTGGAGGATCAAAGGGATCTTGAAGTTATGGAAGCTGAATACATTGTGTATGCAGAAGAGGAATCAAAATTGAATGCTGAAATCGGAGATACTAAAGAGAAAAGCACTTTGCCTCCATGTCAGCATCCACTGCAACACAACAACTCTTCATGCTGCAAGGTTTCTCAAGAAACTTTAGCTCAGCCTTGCTCTGGAAATGAGCTAGAGGCGAAAGTAGATGAGGCTTTGTTAGTGAAAGCACTAAAGGAATCCCTGGCAATGACTAAACTTCCAGCTCCGGAGCCATTCACGTTTACAGGTGACCCACTCAAGTTCACTGAATGGCGCACTTGCTTTAAAGCTTTGATTGAAAACAATTGTACAACCCCAGCACATAGGTTGTTCTATCTGAAAAGGTACATAAGTGGAGATGCACTTAGTGTACTAGAGGGAACCTTTTATAGGAGTGATGAGGATGCATATACGCAAGCTTGGGATGCCCTGAACAAGCGCTATGGGCACCCCTTTGTAATCCAAAGAGCATTTAGGGCAAAGCTGAGCAGCTGGCCAAAAATTGGACCCAGAGAGTCACTGAAATTAAGGGAGCTTAGTGATTTCCTCGTCTCCTGCAAAAATGCAATGCCTCATGTACATGGTTTGGGGGTTTTGGACGATTGTGAAGAAAATCAGAAATTGCTGCAGAAACTTCCTGACTGGGTAACAACTCGCTGGAATAGGTATGTCACTAAAGCACTAGATGAAGAGAAGCCATACCCAAGTTTCACTGAGTTTTCAGACTTTGTGGCAGAGGAGGCACGTATTGCATGTAATCCTGTTTCCTCTCTACATGCTTTAAAAAATGCAGATGAAAAGCCAGGGAAAGAGCAGAAACGTCTCAAAGCCAGCGCTTTGGCGCAAAATGTTAAACCCATTACAAAGAGCTTGAGTGCACTGGAAAGAGAGAAAGGCTCCAAACCCAGCCATTCTGCCACTCAGGATAAGAAACAAATAGAATGTGTCTGTTGTCAGCAAAATCACTTTATATACAAATGTGAAAGGTTTGCGGCAATGCCTCTTGAGGAGAAGAAAAGGTTTGTCATCAACAACAAGATGTGCTTTGGTTGTCTCAGAATCGGTCATATCTCCAAAAACTGTAGAAAGCGAGCTACTTGCAACATCTGCAGGCAGAGTCACCCCTCTCCACTTCATGAAGAATGTTTTCAAGGAGGAAAACTAGAAGCTTCACCTGATGAAAGGGCTTCCACTAGCTTATGCTGTGTGGGAATGGTCAACTGTAATCGCACTTCAATGATCGTTCCAGTATGGGTCTCTTGTGCGACAAAGGATAGCCCGGAAACTCTAGTCTATGCATTACTGGACACGCAGAGCAGTAATACGTTTATTGATCAGGAAGTCTGTGATAAAATTCAAGCAAACACAGAACCTGTAAAATTAAAGCTGTCCACAATGACTGATAGGGCTTCAATTGAGAATTGTCACAGGGCAGCTGGACTAAGAGTAAGGGGTTACAGTTTGCAAGATTATATTGAGTTACCACCTGCATACACTCGAGACAGAAAGAGATAGTCAACAGGGAAGTCATATGTCAACAAAAAGGGCGGAAGCAGCAGCACGCCTAGCTGCCAAACGTGCTGAACTAAAGAGAGAAAGGGACATTTTAGCACAAAGAAAAGAGGTGCTAGCTCAACAAGAGAAGTTAAAGATGCTGGAGGATCAAAGGGATCTTGAAGTTATGGAAGCTGAATACATTGTGTATGCAGAAGAGGAATCAAAATTGAATGCTGAAATCGGAGATACTAAAGAGAAAAGCACTTTGCCTCCATGTCAGCATCCACTGCAACACAACAACTCTTCATGCTGCAAGGTTTCTCAAGAAACTTTAGCTCAGCCTTGCTCTGGAAATGAGCTAGAGGCGAAAGTAGATGAGGCTTTGTTAGTGAAAGCACTAAAGGAATCCCTGGCAATGACTAAACTTCCAGCTCCGGAGCCATTCACGTTTACAGGTGACCCACTCAAGTTCACTGAATGGCGCACTTGCTTTAAAGCTTTGATTGAAAACAATTGTACAACCCCAGCACATAGGTTGTTCTATCTGAAAAGGTACATAAGTGGAGATGCACTTAGTGTACTAGAGGGAACCTTTTATAGGAGTGATGAGGATGCATATACGCAAGCTTGGGATGCCCTGAACAAGCGCTATGGGCACCCCTTTGTAATCCAAAGAGCATTTAGGGCAAAGCTGAGCAGCTGGCCAAAAATTGGACCCAGAGAGTCACTGAAATTAAGGGAGCTTAGTGATTTCCTCGTCTCCTGCAAAAATGCAATGCCTCATGTACATGGTTTGGGGGTTTTGGACGATTGTGAAGAAAATCAGAAATTGCTGCAGAAACTTCCTGACTGGGTAACAACTCGCTGGAATAGGTATGTCACTAAAGCACTAGATGAAGAGAAGCCATACCCAAGTTTCACTGAGTTTTCAGACTTTGTGGCAGAGGAGGCACGTATTGCATGTAATCCTGTTTCCTCTCTACATGCTTTAAAAAATGCAGATGAAAAGCCAGGGAAGGAGCAGAAACGTCTCAAAGCCAGCGCTCTGGCGCAAAATGTTAAACCCATTACAAAGAGCTTGAGTGCACTGGAAAGAGAGAAGGGCTCCAAACCCAGCCATTCTGCCACTCAGGATAAGAAGCAAATAGAATGTGTCTGTTGTCAGCAAAATCACTTTATATACAAATGTGAAAGGTTTGCGGCAATGCCTCTTGAGGAGAAGAAAAGGTTTGTCATCAACAACAAGATGTGCTTTGGTTGTCTCAGAATCGGTCATATCTCCAAAAACTGTAGAAAGCGAGCTACTTGCAACATCTGCAGGCAGAGTCACCCCTCTCCACTTCATGAAGAACGTTTTCAAGGAGGAAAACTAGAAGCTTCACCTGATGAAAGGGCTTCCACTAGCTTATGCTGTGTGGGAATGGTCAACTGTAATCGCACTTCAATGATCGTTCCAGTATGGGTCTCTTGTGCGACAAAGGATAGCCCGGAAACTCTAGTCTATGCATTACTGGACACGCAGAGCAGTAATACGTTTATTGATCAGGAAGTCTGTGATAAAATTCAAGCAAACACAGAACCTGTAAAATTAAAGCTGTCCACAATGACTGATAGGGCTTCAATTGAGAATTGTCACAGGGCAGCTGGACTAAGAGTAAGGGGTTACAGTTTGCAAGATTATATTGAGTTACCACCTGCATACACTCGAGAATACATTCCCTTGGAACGAGATAGCATTCCTACTTGCAAAAAGGCTCAGAGATGGGTTCACTTGCTCAGTGTTGCAAAGGATGCAAAGGAGTTGTTGGATTGTCCCATAGGGCTTCTAATTGGCTATGATTGTCCGAGGGCTTTGAAGCCATTGAAGCCAATATCAGGGAAGGATCACGAACCATACGCAGTGAAAACGATCTTAGGCTGGAGTGTAGTGGGATCCATAACACCCAACACTTGCTCTAGGAATGGAACAGGGTTCTGTCATCGCATTTCCTTGAAGGAACTCCCAGCTATCACACCTGCATCAGTAATCAGGACATTGGAAGCAGACTTTCGAGATACAGACTGTATGGAGAAGGCAATATCAGAAGAGGACATTCAGTTTCTTCAACTAGATGAAAAAACCCAGCACGACAAAGAAGGTCATGTGGAAATGCCCCTACCTTTTAGAGAACGTCCTCAGTTACCGAACAATAAGCAACTAGCCATAGTTCGTTTGAAGCACTTGAAAAAAAGGTTAGAGAAAAATCCGAAGTACAGAGAGGACTATGAGAGATTTATGGACAGTGTTTTTAGAGACGGTGATGCTGAAGAAGCAGAAGTCACATCAAAGGAAGGAAATGTGTGGTACATTCCGCACCATGGGGTGTACCATCCCAGGAAGCCTGAAAAAATAAGAGTGGTATTTGACTGCTCAGCCAAATTTGAAGGCACGTCTCTAAACAACCACTTACTCACTGGACCAGACTTAATGAATGCTCTGACTGGAGTGTTGTGTAGATTTCGTGAGCATCAGATTGCAATTGTTTGCGATGTAGAGAAGATGTTCCACCGTTTTCACGTTAGTCCAGATGATCGTGATTTCCTGAGATTCCTATGGTGGGAAAATGGGAACACTGGAAAGGAACCCAAGGAATATCGAATGCGAGTGCATATTTTTGGAGCGTCATCCTCTCCGGGTTGTGCCAACTATGGCATGAAATATCTTGCCCACAAATATGAAAAGGACTATCCACTGGCTGCGAGCTTCATTCGCAAAAATTTCTATGTGGACGATGGACTGGTCAGTGTCAATTCAGTTGAGAAGGCCAACAAGCTAGTCAAGGAAGCGCAAGAAATCTTAGCTAAAGGAAAACTGCGTTTGCACAAGTTTGTGTCCAATAGC